TTTATTTGGTTGGTTGGTTTTTGCTTTTGTTTTTCTTTGTGTGTGTGTGTGTGTGTGTGTGTGTGTGTGTTTTGTGTGTGTGTCTTTTTGAGACAGGGTCTCGCTATGCAGTTCAGGCTGGTCTTGAGCTCACTTTGTAGCTCAGGCTGGCCTCGAACTCGCAACAATCCTCCTGCCTCAGCCTCCTGAGTGCTGAGATTACAGGTGTGCGCCACCATACCCAGCAGTTTTGGTTTTCTGAGACAAGCTGTTACTATGTAGTTGGCCTTGAACTTATAGGTCAGCCTTGGACTTGTGATCTTCCTGTGTTAGCCTCCTGAGTGCTGGGGTTACAGATGTGCACCACCACACTTTCTTCTCTAAATTTTCTAGATAAAAGTTGTTTAAACATTTATTATTACATTTAAAGTAATTATAGCTGAGGATGGTGGCACACACCTGTAGTCCCAGCATCTGGGAGGCTGAGACAGGAGGATTACTGTGAGTTCCAGCCCAGCTTAGACTACATAGTGAGTTCAAGGTGAACTACAGGGCAAGACCCTGTCTTAAATAAATAAATAAATACTAGTTACAAAGTTAATAATGAAGTTATTACAACTTTTTTTTTCATGCCTAATTCACCAGTTAAAGATCTAACTAAGTGAAAAAACATCCCATGCTTATGTGTTAGAAGATTTAATGTTAGGATGTCAACATCCTGAAATGGATCAATTAATCCAATCAATCCATAACAAAATCCTGGGTAGCTTTTACTTTTCCCATGGCAAAAACTGATAAGCTGATAGTAAATTCAAACTTCATTATTAAAAATAATGAAGTTGTAAAGCTTTTAAAGGTTTTATAACTATAGCAGCTTTTATAGCTAAAAGCTGTCACAGTAAGATATCCATTTGATAGCTGGGTGTGGTGCTGTACACTTGTAATCCCAACACTTGCACTTCGGAGGCTGAGGCAGGAGGATCGTTGCACGTTTGAGGCCAGCCTAGGCTACAAAATGAGTTCAAGACCAGTTTGAACTGCATAGGAAGACCATGTCTCCAAAAAGACAAAAAAAAAGAGATCTCCATTTTGAGGTAATTTCTACATAGGGTGTGAGGTAAAAAAAAAGTTCTAACTGTCCTAGCAGTATTTGGGTTTTTATTATTGTTAATTCTGGTAGGTTTTTTTTAAAAGCAGTATTTGTTGAAGACACTGTTCTTTATTCTTTAGGGAATTGTCTTCATATCCTTGTTGAAAACAAACTGTAAATGAGGGGTCCCCCCCGTATTCTCAACTTTATTGTTTGAGAGGCATAAGGAGTTTGGGGGTGCAGAATTTAAAAGTACACATTTAAGTAGAGCTTGGGCCCTCTAAGAGAGAGGTACCCTCATACTTTCAACTTAATTCCACTGGTCTGTATAACTGTCTTTACGCCAGTACTGTGTGT